CTTGATACTGTAAGTCATCAGTCATTTTGATTACTTCCAAGTAAACACATTACCTTAAAGTGAGCAAAAATAATACATCATACATGACAAATTCAAATTCACACTAGATAAAAGAACTGTTACAATAGTTTAGTTAACCTGTGGATGGTTACATCATATACACATTTTTGTTAGGTGAATACATACCATACATTTTTGGAAAGCATTCACTTAAAACAGGTCATTATAGAGTGATTTTACAGACAGACATTGATTATTTTCCTTTACCACTGAATAAAACAGTTTTATCCATTAATTTAAATAATCATGTTATTTTCAAATAAAAGAATATGATAATTTTTAAATTTATTTTACTAAAGTCCTAAAGTATATATCATATAACTTAAAAATTAAATATGTATAGAAAGTCAAAACTCTATTATACACACTGAATTTAATCAACTTCTCTGTGTTAGTATGTTCACTATATGTACAAGCCCTCATGTCTTGTAGTCAGTTTTTGCTGGGCTTATGAAATTGTGGGAAACCAGTGTTTTGTAACTCAGGTTTATATTTAGTTTACACTGTAAAACTAATCAATTAATTTTTATGCAACAATGTTATTAATAAGCATATTAGACTCCTTATGCTAATTAGTAATTTTATCATCCCTAGTACAAAATCTGATCAGAATTCTATTGAAAATAAATTTTTCCCCTTTTTTTCTTGATGAATGCAGTATCAGCATTGAATGTTCTAGCATGTATTTTAAAAAGGAATGGTTGCTTCTTTAGCTACTCTTCTGTATGTTTAATGAGTTAGATTTGAAATATTTGAAAGGCCTAGTGTCCAATTAGTGTCTTTTTAAGTGATTGGAACATTAAAAACCTGAATTTATGACTACATCGATCCATTATTTAAGTCATAATTAGATGGTACTCTTAGCATCGATGGAAATAGGATGAGGTGCCTCCTTGAAGGGAGTGGTCCATAAGAGGTATGATTCCGGAGATAACATCCATTACAATTTTATCTGATCTTCTTGTTCCCTCTCAGCTTCTTAGCTCCCATGAGGTAAACATCTTTCCTTTGCTCTGTGTTTTCATCCTGATGAGTTTGCACCCCCATCTTCCAAAAAGCAAAGGAAAGTGCTGAATGAATATGGACTGTCCCCTGTGGAATCAAGAGCCACAGTGAATCTTTCCTATAGTAAGTTGTTCTCAGGTGTTTTCTCACAGTGACAATAAAATAATACATCAAGGAAATGTGAGTAACAGGAAGACAGGAACATGGGTGCTTGCCAGTTGACTTAACAGCATCCTTTAAAATGTGTTTTAAAAGCCATGACAAGTTTTATTTTCTCCCACCTATTCCATTTCAGGAAAAGAAGTTGTCTTAGTTACTTTATGCTCGTCGCTGAGACAAAATACCTGATGTCCTAGTTGGGAAAAGAAAGGTTTATTTTTCATAGCTTTTGGAGGTTTCAGTCCACACACAGTTGGCTCCAAGACAGGCGGGCATGGCTGGGCCCCCGTTCATGGCAGCTGCTGAGCAAGCAGGAACCAGCAAGACACACCTTCTTCCTGCCATTGCATCACATCCTGGCTCCACCCCTTTGTGGGTGGAGCACTGACACCATCAATCCAAGCACTAGACAATGAACGAATAACAAATGCACAATTCAAACTCATGAGGCCTGGGGACCACAGACATAAACCATGACATTCCACCCCTGGCCCCCAGGACTCATGTACATCCTTTACACAAAAGACATTTAGTCCACCTCCAAGAGTTGCCAAAGTCTTAACAGTTTCAGCATTGCTGAAAAGTCCAAGTCCCAAGTCTCCTCCAAGATCTAGGGCAAACTCTTAACTGTAACACCTGTACAAATGAAAAAAGGTTAAACATTTCTCAAATGCAAAGGCACAAGATAAAATTACCATTCCAAAAGTTACAAAAGGGGAATATAAAGCATTGGAAACAAAGCAAGTCCAATATCCAGCAGGACAAACATTAAGTCCTAGAGTTCCATGCTCAGCATCTGAAGCAGTCTGGTTGCAAGCTCCGAAAGGCTTGGGTGACTCCACCCCCATGGCATTTCCAGGGATTTCAACTCCTGCAGCTTTTCTCTTAAATCCTCTCTGCTCGCTTTTTGCAGCTTTCCTTGGATCATCCACATTCCTGGCTTTTCCAAACTTCTGGGGTCTCCATTGCACCTTCAGCTTCACCCTTACATCTTCACAAATTGCCCTCAGGGGCACACTGCTTGGCCTGCCAGGCCCTTTGCAATCGAGGTGGAAGCCATCTTACCCTCAGAATTTGTGCATTTTCCTTGTACCTAAAATCAGCACTTTGTGGATGCCACCAAGGTTTACTGCTAGCTGGAGCAGTGGCCAGGCTTTTCTCTCTCTTGGCTGTAGGGGTCAGTTGCCTGGATTGCAGGGCTCTGTTTACCTGATTGTGATGAAAATCTTCTCTGTGTTGCCGCCATTTTGGAAATTCATGTGGCCTCTGTCGCCATTCTGGAACCTCACGTAGCCTCTGCCACCATTCTGGAGCATGGTTCTCTGCAGCCTTCTACTCTGAACAAATTCTTTCACAAATTCTTTCAAATTGCTGTGAGGCTGCAAAGGGTGGTGACCCGCTTCTTGGGATGCCCCGGGGCCATCTTTCTTATCTCTCTATTTTCCATCAACAATCAAAATCTCTACTCTGTCTTTACAATCCACAGTCTTCCTGGAATTTTCCTTCTGGCCAAACTCACAGCATTGTAAATTATCCTGCTGGGCTCTTTGCTCTTGATTTGAAACATAAAGCTATCTGAAAGCCCTGAACAATAGCCATGCCACAGCCTCAATGTTCAATTGCTTTTTAATTTCTTTTTCAAAATTAATCAGTCCAGTGCCCTTGGTCTCAGTCTCAGGCAAAGTCTCTGGGCATGAACAAAATGCAGACAAACTTTCTGCCAAGCCATAACACACATCATGTGGAGTCCAACAACCAATGCAGTCTTTCTTCCCAGCAGAAACCTCTCAAGCCTGGCCTTTATCATTAGGCTTTCTATCAGCCTTCTTGTCTCTGGAGCTCTGACCAGAATCTCCTCTACAGAACAGCCTGAGCTGCTCCAGCTCTATGCATCCAGGCGACATGTCCAAACCTTTCCAAACTCCACCCACAAGCCATTTCCAAAGTCTCTTGAAAAACATGGCCAGGTATAGTCACAGCAAAGGACCCACTCCTCGGTACCAAATTCTGTCTTAGTTACTTTATGCTCATCGCTGAGACAAAATACCTGATGCCCAACTTGGGAAAGGAAGTATTTATTTCTTACAGTTTTTGGCGGTTTCAGTCCACGCTCAGTTGGCTCCAAGACAGGTGGGCATGGCTGAGCCACAGTTCACTGTGGCCGCTGACAGCAAGCAGGAACCAGCAAAGGGCAAGACACACCTTCTTCCTGCCATTACATCACATCCTGGCTCCACCCCTTTGTGGGTGGAGCACTGACACCGTCAATCCAAGCACTAGACAATGAATGCATATCAAATGCACAATTCAAACTCATGAGGCCTGGGGGCCACAGACATAAACCATGACAGAAGTCTACAGAGTACCGATTTTTGTGGCCTCCATTACTGTTCAATGGCTAGCATTACTGGTTTTTTTTAAATCTTACTATTATTTTATGCCATTATTTCCTACAATTTTACACTGAATCTATGACAGCATTAGTGTTTTACAAGAGTGTTTTGAGAGACTTCAAGTCAAATGACTTCATAGGAAGTATCTCTAATAAGAAATATTATATACATTTGATTCAAATATTATAAGCTGTATAGCATGTCTTTATACACAAGTTTTATCTTTTTTTCCATCTCTTGTCTTTGGTACTTCTTTTTTTTTTTTTTTTTTTTTTTAATCTCTTCACCTATCTTTGTTTTTGAGGAGAGAACCAGAATCGAACTCAGGACTTCATGCTTGCCAGGAAGGAACAGTGTCACTGATTTACATCCCCAACTCTCCTGTCTATCATATTTTACTGCTTCTGTCCTTCTGACTTATTTTAAACAATAAACTTAACAGTATGCTGATCCAGTTTTCTGTAGCATGGGATCTGTGTGTGTGTGTGTGTGTGTGTGTGTGTGTGTAAGTGTGTATATATATATATATATATATGTAGTTTTGTTTTGTTTTATTAAAGTGTCACTTTATGCAGTACAAGTTTACCTTTAATTCAAGTTTACCTTTAATTCTGCCTCAGCCTCAAACTGCTGGGATGACAGGAATGCACCACCACACTAGGCGGAATCTGTATTTTTTAATCTAATATTTTTGATGTTTAAATAGTCTTGATTCCTTTTTATTGCATAATGGATATGTCAGTACATGCATGTTGATTACAATGGCACTCACATTTTTTTACACTTTTTTTTTCTTTTTTCTTTTTTATCGGTACCAGGGATCGAACTCACGACTGCCTGCTTGCAAGTGCACTCACATTTTATCTACAACTTTTGTGACCAAGATAATCTTTACCTGGTAAGTTACATTATATTAACTCTTAACTTCAGGCCAGAAAGAGCGTAAGTATTTTGTACTAGGTTATCTTACTGAGTGTTAAACCCTTAATACCTGGTAGTAAACTTGAAGCAATCAAGATTGTTCTCATTGACAAGATTAGCATATAGAAATTAATTAAGGAATGCTGAAGCAGAATTTACATTTATAGGAGTACAGTGCTGAAGTTCCATGACTTATATTAATTTTTCATCATTCTTGAAGAAATTATTGATACCTAGGATTAGTTCCTTTAGTATGAGATTATCTTAGTTATTTTTGACTCGTCACTGTGACGAGACAAAATACCTGAAGCCCAAAGTTAGGAAAAGAAAGGTTTATTTCTTACAGTTTTTGGAGGTTTCAGTCCACACTCAGTTGGCTCCAAGGCAGGCTGGCAAGGCAGAACAGCAGTTCATGGCAGCTATGATCAGTAAGGCAGAAACTGGCAAAAGAGAGTGACATACCTTCTTCCTGCGATTACATCACATCCTTGCTCCATCGCTTTGTGAATGTAGCACTGACACCATCAATCCAAGGACTAGACAATGAACCATCACAAATGCACAATGCAAACGCATGAGGCCTGGGGGACACAGACATAAACCATGACAGAGATCAAGCTTTGATCCAATACCGTATTGATCAAAATTATATTGAGGCAAATATTTTGTGCTTGCCTTTGTTTTAATTTTTGGTAAATCATATGTTAGTTTCTTCTTTCAGTTACTGAACTTCCTGTTTACACACAAGTCCTTAAAAAGTAGTCTTCTTTTCCAAGTAGAAATTAGCTTACAAGCATAATTTCTTGTAATAGGTTAATCCAAATTTCAAAAAATAATTCTTACTTTTGACTGTTTGAAGTAATCAGATTAAAGCTTTATGTTTTCTCATCAGGCAAAAATGCATATATGTACCCGTGCAGTATAATTTTATTTCTGTTTGATAGACTGATGACCATTTCTGGATCTTGCATTAAAACTTTTAGTTCCTACGTACTGCCTTATAAGTGCCCACCTGGAAAAAAAATACGGTTTCATAACCAAGCAAAAACCTGTCCTTAGTATTCAGTCTCGCATCCTTAGTGTGAAGAGATTTTTTGATTAGTAAATAGAATTTAGTTTTAATTTTACAAATTTTATTCTGAAATATATATATATATATATATATATATATATATATATAGAGAGAGAGAGAGAGAGAGAGACAGAGACAGAGAGACAGAGAGACAGAGAGACAGAGAGAGACAGACAGGAGAGAGATATTTTAGAAATTTCAGAAATATATTGCTCATAATTTATTTGTATCTGAGAGACTAATCAATTATTTGATTAAATTACAGTTAGTTACAGGAAGTCACTATGATACACATGAATTTGTGAACTTTCTTCTTGTTAGTATTAAAATCACAGAGAATACTGACCTGTCTAGAGTGAATTATAAAGAGACTTTTCTTTATGAGTAATTTGCTGAATTTCACTCAGAATATTCTGATAATCCAGTGATGTGAAGATGTCTAGCTATTTCTTTTCTCACTGTTTGCAGTTACACTTGAATGTTCTTTTGTTAAAACTGTTGTTTTTTTCTTTCCTAAATAATATAAAAAGTACAGAGCTTTTCTCAGGCATAGCTGTATTCATAACTTAAAACATGTTATCCCTAGTCCAGATGATACTGAGACACTTGCCCAGGTTTGACTAAATCCAGCTAAATTTCCACCTGACTCTCTTTTTCTCATTTTTAAAATACTTAAAAATCTGGGTGACAAACTCCTCAGATAATAAGAAAGAAACATATTTTATTTTTTCCTCGATATTTTAAATTTTGTTTGTGATTTTTAGATTTTGGAATATAACTCAATGCCATTTCAGGGGACGAAGTGTGTAATCATAATTTAATATTTGATATACTAAACTGCAATTGAAATATACTTAGAGGAAATGTAAATAATACATTTTGAAGCTATAATTATTGCTATATGTTATTTAGGGGTTACAACCTGAAATGGTCAGTTTGTGTTTGGGTGGCCCCTCAGACCTCATGCAGTCATGGAGGTGGCCGAGTGCAGAGTTTATGACTGATTCATTGTCTAGCAGTGGGATTGGCTATGTGAGTGCTGCATCTACCCAGGAGTGCACAACTGAGATACAATATAAGGGAGGGAAGGGGAGTGCTTTTCCCTTTTGTGCACTGTTTCCTAGCTACTCCATCCTGCCTTGGAACCAGCTGGGTATAGACTGTAAGCTCAAAAACTATAGGTTAAATAAACCTTTCCTTTCTTTATTTTGTACATCAAGTATTTTGTTCAGCAATGAGACAAAAGTAACCAAGATACAATCTATCTCATTATTTACAAAATTTGAAATCAGACCAAATGTTACAAGTCTTCTCTGATCTCTGAATGCTACATTCCAGGACCAAAGCTGCTGATGCCTAAGACTGCTCATAATAAAAGATCTTAGTATATATATATATATATATATATATATATATATATATGATTTTCCTAGGATTAAGTTTAATTGATAAATTAGGCATAATGGGATTAATAATAAGAAAGAACAACTATGACATTACAATGTTATATAATGATTTAATATTACAAAATATTTGTTTTATTTTAAAGCTAATAAATTATAAATTCTTAATAGTTTCAGACTGTAGTGGATTTCAATAAAAGAAATTGCTGAAAACAAAACTATGGATAAGTGGGAGATAATTGCGACATATCAGACTGATGGCAATACTGAAGAATTTTACAAAAATATATTTTCCATATTTTGTATGAAATTGTATGATTCAGATTTATCTGTGTATCTGATCCTAAACATAATATTTCTTTCTCTGACAAAATATGATATAAAATAAAGCAGCATATATGGTAATATAAATCATCCAAAATTATACCAGATTATCTTTTCAAGATTTTTTTGTAAATAACAAACTTTATCCTTCAGCATTAGAGACAAAGTTTCTTTCTGGAACAAATAACAGACATGTTTGCTGCTTATTACAAAATATTTGAGATGTATAAGTTCATTGTTTCTCTATTATAATGTTACCTCCTGGGACTACAGTGTGTTACAGGATATATATGAGATCTAATCTTACATGCCATGTCTCTTCCATCAAAGTTTAATTGCAAGAAAACCACTCGTGAAAAACTTAATATTTTTATCATTATTATGAGTAATAAAGTCTTTTATTGCTTTGATCCAAGGTAGAATTTTTGCCACCAGGCATGAAGTGTGGCCACCCAAATAGTTAACTTACAAGGTAATATTTTAGTTCCTCCAACTTCTTGACAATCCATGCTAATAAATTTACCTTTACAAAGAGACACACTCACACACACACACACACACACACATACACACAAATATAAGTTTTGACATAGACTTTGCTAATATTTAGGAGAAAGAGTATTGGAGGAAAATGGGGTCAAGGAAGAATATGACTTAAAATATCTACAGTTCTATAAAAGTTCCAAAAGTCTTTTAAAGTAATCTGACTAAAGCAGTGTATTATTAAGGGTGTTAGGAAAATGGCTAGCTTTTTGGGTACTTTGGCATATAATTTTAATATTTTATAATCAAATTAGTAAATATTATGTAATCTGTACCATTATTGAATTCCACGGTTGAACAAAGTTAGTCACCTTGTATTTCATTTATTAATTATTTCACTCACATTTTTATTTCAATTATTCAAACTGGCAAAATCTGCATTTGAATCTTTATTCTTAATTATGTGTATTGCCTAAAGATAAATAAACTTTTCTAGAAAAAATTTTGTAACTTTGTTCAGTTATATATTTTAGCCCCTCGGAAATGGTATCTCGCTCACATTCCTCCTTATATTTCCCATATATTAAATGATACTTTTATTCCTGAGTTCACATAAAAAAGATCTTACAGATTTTTTTCAGAACTCTTAAATACTATATACACACAACATGCAAAGAATTAAGATGTATTATTTATAGATATCAACTCCCTAAAATGAATGTAATCATTATGTATCACAAACATATATGAATAAAAGTTGAACGGCCCCAAAATGCAAAATGTGATTTCTTAAATTGTGTATTATTGCTTAAAGATCAAAACTCCTTCATTATTTATTTGCTTCAATTCTATCACTGCAGTAACGGTATCTGCCAATTACGACTGTTGGGGTTGTTTTGATGTTTAATTGATTTCATTTGTGTGAAGACCTTTTTATCGGTACCAGGGATCAAACTCACGACTGCCTGCTTAGAAGGCAGGCGCTTATGCCGCTGAGCTAAATCCCCAGCCCAGACCTTGTAGGTGTTAAAACAATATATTGTTTCAAAAAATGGTAGCCATATTCCTTTGCTTTATATCTCCATTTTTATTTTACTTCAGATATATAAAATCTGTTTCACTAGCCCTTCATCATGAAAGCTGCTTTACTATCATCTCCCACCCTGATTTTCTCCACTGCATTTGCTGAGCATAGGAATGTTCCTTTCCTAGCACCATACCATGTGAACAAACTCAAAACCATTCGAGCAAGAGGAGAGATTCAAAATAATATGAATAACTTTAAAAGAAACAGAATTATAAAAATAAATGCATTTTAGTTCTTTTTCCAGTTAGAGTACAAAGAAAACCACATTATTTAAGAATATATCAAAGTGCATTAATCTTGACTCATAGTTGAAAAAAATCAAGGATTGCAGTCACAGAGTTTGAGAGATCCATAACAATTGATTTTTAGGATAAAGACAAAATGCATAATGTGAATCTGAACATAAATTAGCAAAGAAAGGATGGTTGTGAATAAACACTTTGGTGTCATATCCATGTTCAAATATAACCTCAGATTTAAGCAGTTGGTAAGTACGCTTTTTCTTCTTTTATACAATTGAGGATATTGTAACAATGAAGTCAAATATTTTTGAAATACTAATTTCAAAACTTCCAAGTAAACAGCCAATAATTAATAGCATTGTAATAAGTAACAGTCTTCTTCACATAGAAATGTTTCCTAGTTGCACCTGGAGTTTTAATGACCACAACCTCTTTGTTTTACTATTAAAAAACTATAGAGAATGTCCTTATTTGACTCCCCAGAAAATTAGTTTTTCACCACTTTCATATTTCTCTTCAATTGTTTGATTTACTTTTAAAACTATTCTTCTAGATTCATGGACTGAAGTAATTCAGCATTTTTTTTCTTTTACTCTAGAAATTCCAATCATCTAACACACATGGTCATCAGCTATCAAATTGCTACTAAATTCTCGGCAGGCATATGAGTCAGCAGGCAATTTTACATTGAATTCCCCTTTTAAAAACATGAGCAAGTTTTCAGGTTACAGCTGTGACAGTCAGTTGATTAAATTCTAGTTACTGAAGACTGAAAAATATCATTTTCAAATAATTTCCGTGAATGCAAAACCCTTTTCCCTTACATCTTTTCATTTTTTTTAGCAGTACATGTTTGCAATATATGCAGTTTACAGTCATCTTGGGAAGGAGGCCCTTTTCATAATACAGTTTAATTCTTTTTCAATTGAACATCCCTTACCCTTCCCTCTTGCTTCCCTCCCTCTAAATCTCCTTTCTTCATTTGTGTTGGTGTTGATATATTAATCTTATATCACATTTATAACATATAAGACATATATTAACTGAGCATATCAGGTTCTAGTACATGGAATATCTTTAATGAATATATCTCCCCTTCCACATTCTTCTTGCTCTCAATCTGCAGGATTCCTTCCCATTTGCAAGAGATCAATCTCTTCCTCTCCATCTATCAATCTTTTATTCGGTCTTTATAACAGTGTTTGAGACAGCACCATGCATAATAGATAAATCTTGGAAGCAACTTGTATACTCACCAGTAAAATAAAGCAGCTGTAGTTACACACAATGATATACTATTTGGGTACAAAGACGGACACTTTTAAGACATTTGTAGAGAAATGGATGCACCTGGAAAGTAAAATTTTGAGTGAAATAAACCTTGCACACAAATTTAAGTATTGTGTAGCATCTCCTTTAATTTTTTGAAGTGCAGTCTTTCTGCTCCACAGGAAAGTTCCATCACTGCCAATCAAGTGTGCAGATTTGGATATTCACAAACATTACTGGATCATAACATTGGCAAAATGTAATCTAGATTTAATAAATCTCAGATAAATATTTTCCCCTGATTTTCTTTTTCTATTTCTTTATTAATCTTTTTGAAGATAAATTAAATATTACTGATATCTTTCAAAAAATTTACATGTACCCTATAGAGCAAGAGGTTCTGAATTACTGAGTTAAAATGAGAACCCATGTAATAATATTCTTTTAAATAAAATTTCGCGTGATGTTATTGTAATTAGGGGTTGTGCAGAGAACAATTAGAATCAGGATATGGAGTTTATAATATTAGTTTTATAATGGTCACCGGGAATTAACACAAGAAAATGCAAGAAATCTATCTGCAACACTAAAGACATAGAATATTTAGGCAAGGCCTGAATCCCACTCATGTGGGACATTGGTCCCACATGAGTCCAGATAAAAACCCAGAGCTCATGACAGTGCCTCCCACAAGTCCAACTGGAGGTCTAGTGTCCACAAAAAGGACTCATACCAATCTCTTTTACGGATCCGTGCTGAGCAGGCCCAAAGGTCAGCAGTAGAAGCCAGAAAGTCCATGCAGCGGGTTGAAGGAGCTGTGCTGGTGATGAGGGTTCTGTGCTGGAGCCCAGAAGTCACACTTACAACAAAGACGAGGATTGTCCTGAAAAGCACCACAGCCATCCTCAGCAACACAGAGGCCCTGAGCTCCTCCTCTGAAAGCACAGTCGGGCACATGCTAGGAAGCCAGCATGTCGAGTTCATCCTGGAGACCAAGCACACATGTCTTCCCTTCTGGAGCCAGGAAGCAATTCCGGATGTGAGGACCAAAGCTTCTCCAGGAGAACCAGCGGCTCAAACAGTGACTCATAGGAGAACCCACAATGCCTCAATGCAACAATGCACTAATGCCTTAACTTCTCAACAACCTCTTTCTCCTTCTCCACCTCTCTATTTATGCTGGCAACTTTCCTCAGGTGGAGCATCTTCACTCAGTGCCATGCTGATGTAATCCAACTGGCGTTAAGTTGACCTCCAGTTCTTAATCCATAACAGATGTTGATGCACATCAATAAGTTTTAAAATAACTGAGTCAGAATCCTAATCTCGGATAAATTTCATTCCAAGACTCCAATTGCTTCTATATAGATAAATATGTTCCATTAAGTTGCTGTTTGCAAACCTTTTTCATGTCCTCACTTTAGCATTGTTGAGAATTCCATAAAGTACTGTTTATTGTATTTACATATTGTTAATTAACTCAGAATTGATTACATATGTTTAAATGGAAACTGTATCTTCCCCTAAGTGGGAAATTAGTTTGATTTTGGACTAATAGAAGGCATTTTAAAATAGCAATTTAAAATGCTGTTTAAAATAAAGCTTGATATTCTTGCACAGGCAAAACTCACTCTGCTGTTTGTCTCTATTTAGTTATAAAGATATTAGACCCTAAAGGAGCAATGCCTCAGATGCTTGAATTAAATAATCCATCTCTCAAACATAAACAAAATATTTAAAAGCAAGTGACAAGGCAGGGAACTTCTTTCTTGTTATTTCCCCTGTCACAGGCAGGCACCTCTACTGGCTCAACAATTTCTGCAACTTAAGACCTTCTAATGGGCAATGGTCCTGGGATTTTCAACTGCAGAGAAATTTTAGGTGTACTAGTTTAACGATATTAATGTATTAATGTTGATATTTATTTAACTGAAGCATACTACATGCCAAAATATGATCAAATTATCTTACATTTTTTACTGTGTGATCATCATAACCGCTCACTGAGACAGATAAATTGTCATTCACAGAAATAGCGAGAGGAAGGTAGTCTGAAGTAGAATCCCATAAAGTGTGAAGACGGCAGCAAAAGGGAAAAGATCAAGGAGACAATACTGAAATGATAAGAATTAGGAAAATGAGTAGAATCTTATAATTCAGAGAGACAAATTTATTTAACGTTGGACAAATTCTCAAGTGACTTTAAATTAATTTTAGTTTTTTATGAACATGGAAAAATGAAAAGTATTACTATATTCCCAGGACTTAAAGTAACGTGTTGCAAACAATAGAAAGATGAGGTAGAAAGGAGCAAAAATCCAAGGATGGATAAAAAGAGAGAGAGAAAGACAAAAAGACTGGTAGACAGAGAGAGAGAGGGAGAGAGAGAGAGAGAGAGAGAGAGAGAGAGAGAGAGAGAGAGACAGAGAGAGAGAGAGAGAGAGACAGAGAGACAGAGAGAGAATGATTATGAGTCCGAAGTGAAGGACTAACAGAAGAAGGAAAGTGTAACATGAACAGTCCATACTGTCAGACTATTTAGAGCCCAAAATTTATTGTACTGAAATCTGGACTATTGTATGTGTGGAAACATCTTGGATGAGCGTAATGTCAAGATTCTCTAAGTCCTATACATGTTTGTTCCACAAAAATATTGGCAGTTCTTTTTACCTGTGATATATTTTGAATATTCTGACAGTGCTGGAGATCATACATAAATCATCGATATGCAAGACTATTTTATATTGGACAACATATACATTATTATCTTTATATTAAACTGAATTTTACTTTGAATACACTGCAGATGAATTGTCAACATGAACATGAGAGATTGATTTAATTTTCTTGGAATACAAATGATATAACAAGAATGGAAATAAGGTTTCTGGATCTTAGCCAAACAGTAAAACAAATTGATGGAAATTTATTTTTCATTATGTTTCAGCTTAATTTATATTGACATGACTCTAGATATAGATCTCTGAGAATAGACAAACCACAATTCACTCCAAGTCTGTTTGATTCAAGCACAAAAATTAAAGTATAGGTGAACTCTGGAGCCGCAACATTGCTTTTTATCTGATGACTTTAGTACCCTTTTTCAACGTTTTGGCAATGTAAGATAAAACGACTTGAAAATGTATTCAGTGTTCAGAAAAGAAGACATTAGTGCTTTCTTCATTTCCATATCTTGAATCATTAAAACTAAGAATAAAATATATTTCTGGTAGTCTTACTAACTTGGATTTTGCCAAACGTTGCTAATTACTATTACTTTATAATTTATAAGGACATTTTTTGAATCAGTAATATATCATTATATACCTAGAATTTATAAAATCTTTGTGATTAAAAATAAATATCTTATAAACTAAAAATAAAGCATGAAATTAAATAATGAAAGGCTCTAAACTTTGTTCATAAATGTGCTAAAGTTTTTATTCTTTTTACAATCCTGCAAAAATTTTAGACTAAATCTTATGGAAATATTTATTGATTTCTAAAGCAACTACAAAACAACTAATGAGAATCAGAAAAAATGCAATACCTGGCAAGTCAACAATTGCTAAGTACAGCATCTATCAAAATTAGAAATGGTTTTTAAAAAGGGCAAATTCTGCTTCAAACTGTGGCATGATGTCTGATCATGACATTCTAGGGTGGTACTGAACAGGTATTCCTTATAGCATACTAAAATCAATGGAAGCTGCAAGTCCCAAGTAAGGAAAGAAGAAATTTTCGTGACAGTAGAAGTCTGAGAGTTTATAATTCACTCTAATCACATTTACCAATATTAAGACAGTACTTACTGGAGGAAAGAGTCTGCCTAGTTAGAAACACTTCAGATTTGCATTGAGTTTGGCCAGTGCAAGAGTGGGAGTTTGGGATGGGGAATTTGGCTACAACTAGAAAACCATTTCAGAATGGTAGAAGCTGAATCGTTTCATAGCCTCAGCGGTAACAGAAATGATGACTCTTATTTGAAATACATTGTAATATTGTTACCTTATTTGAGGAAGAATCTACTTGTAGATTAGTTCCTTTTCTATAATAGCAACACAAGACACTTCACATTAGAAATGTCATAATGGGTGCATATTGTCCAAGTAAAATCTTATTTCTTGCATTAGTTCCATAAGCATCACCAGAGTTTGAAATGCAGGATGTCAGAGCATACCTCAAACCTTCAGAATCAGAATTATTTAACAATATGTAAAGATATATCATGATGTTATATAATTATGCATATACATATATATATATATATATATATATATATATATATGTATCCTTTATATACACATTAACTTTAAACAGACACTGTGCTAAAAAGCTCCATCCAGTTTTCTGGCATCTTGTTTAATACTTAATAGTTATTTAAACATTTTTCTAAGAGATCAACAGTGGATGAGGGTTCTTTGAGAAGTTTAGAACTATTAGGCAAAATTTTATGATAAGTATGTAAAAACAGATGTACCTATCTTTATAGTTTAAGAGATATAAAAACACAACCACAGAAGCACTATTGAATGAGATTATTTTGAGTCATGTAAGCAAATTTTGAAGTACTATGAGACTAATACGAAATATTAGTATTATTTATTGTTACATGTTTGTAGACGTTTACATTCCTCGTGGGAATTGGTACATGTATATAGTACATCTTAATTCCCTTTCCTCAATTTCCTTTCCCTCCTCCTCTTGATTTCCATCTTTTATTTGCATATTTGTATATTTCCTTATGCTGAATTGGTAACACAGCTTAATTCCTTTTTTTCCCCTTTCCATCCCCTCCCTTCTTCCTCTTTACTTATTAATTCTATCTCCTTTGGAGAAAGCCCTATCTCCTTACTTCCTATTATCTATCTTTTATTTTGTCCATTATTTGTACCTTGGGTTTCTAATATAAGTGAAACTATGTGATGTTTAAATTTGTGTGTCTTATTTATTTTCCTTAGTTTCATCATCTCAAGCTACATGCATTTTTCTCTAAAATGTATCAACCTTATATTTCCTCATGGCAGAATAGTACTCTGTTATGCATAAGTACCCATTTTCTTTATTCACCTGGTGATGCACATATTAGCCTGCTTCCAACAGTTAGCTCTTATGAATTCAGCTGGCATAAAAATGAGCATTCATGGATCACTATAGTATGATGCCTTTAACTCTTTCAGAAAGATTTCTAGAAGGGGAATACCTGGGGCAAATGGTTTCATTTTTTTTTTATGAATCTCAAGATTAATATTCAAAGTGGTTATACAAGTTTATATTCTCACTAGCTACACAAAATCTTTTTTCTCCCCATAGCTCCACCAGAATTTATTATTGGATTTTTGGATGATGACTGCTTTTTCTAGGGCAAGATGCAGTTGTGGTGTTATTTTAATTTAATTTATTGGCCACCAATGCTATGTGTTTCCAAATGTACTCATTGGCCTTTTGTATTTCTGTGAAATGCCTATTTATTTGTCTGAGCATTTTCTAAGAAGGCTGACATATTTTTGTCAAAATACTGAAATAGTTCTAATTGAAATGATGGAAATAATGTTCTATTTGAAATGGTGAAGATATTTGTTTTATTGTACTTTGTTTTCTAACTTGCCAAATAAACAAGATGATCTCTTATTTTCATCTATTTCCTGAGCATAAAACTGAGAGATGTTCTATTTGATAGTTTAAATACTGACAAATATGTACCATTGAAGTGTTGATGCTATTTCAGTAAAACACATACAGTTGGAAATGCACAGAATTTAAAATTCATGTACACAAAGAGAATAGAAAGAATATATGGTAATTTTATGGTCAAATATTATCAACACACAGTAAATAAGATTTTGTACACATATTTTTCTTTAGCATATTGGGCTTAATATAAAGAAAACATCACTCTGAGTATCAGTATATAAGACCGTAAGTATGATAGTGTAAACTATTTTAAGTGCTTAGGTCCTCAATTAGATAGCTTCTTTGCAATTAAGTTCCACGATTGGTTAAATTGTAATTATTAAATTGCACTTCTCATTAAGAGTGTACTAATTTCCGATGAGATGTAGTTTAGATTTGGTTTCACTTGATAAGATTTAATTCAAAAAACACTGATTGGTAATTAAAGACATCACTTTCCATAT